GAATGTGGTGCAGTGTCTGAAGCTGGCCTTGCATGCTGCCAGCTCGGATCCGGTAAGGTTTATTAGTTCAGGCTCTGTGCCATGCGAGAGCAGTTAAATGGCTCCTGGAACTGTTCTGACCTGGCAGCTACACTGCAGTGTTCGTGCAGGGTTTTGTCAGAGCCAACGAACCAGGCAAGACCTGACCTGGCCCAGCGCTGCAGCACTTTGATGTCTCTGTGTCCGTGGCATGGTTGGTCTGCAGCCTGGATAAGATATTCCTAAAGAATGGAGAGTTTTCTGTAAATAACACTGAAAAATGTAGACATTGACCCATCTCTGCGGGCAGAGATTATCTACTGTTGCCTTCAATGGATTTGGTTATTTTCTACAGCTTGCAATATAAATGGCCTTTATGGAGGCTGAAGGTTTGCACTGTGACCAAATGTCAGGCTAAGAGAGGAGATAAGGTTGCATGGCTGATACTCAGAATATGAGAACATCTCTGGACGCTGTCAGTCTTAGAAATAAAAATACTGAGTCCTGGCACTTTGTGTGTCACGTGCTGCGTTATCTGCTGAGCCATCTGGTTGGCACGGCTTTCCGAGTTGCCTAGTTGCTCTTCACTTTCACATCGCTACGCTGTGATTGAGTTCAGTGCTTATGTGGATACAGGTGCCTGGTTTGCTAGGCTGAGACAAAACAAATGTGCAAAGATGCGTTTGAAGACAAATTGATGCGGCTTTGTGAGTGTGAGAAGGGGGAAAATATTAAGTGGTAGATACAAAACAAAGCTGGAACTCTGCCAGTTAAATTTAGCTGCCATTCCCTGTGAAGAGGCAGCTACGGTTGGGAACATCATTGTAGTTAATGATAGCTAGAGAACCAAAAATCGGGGTGTAGTAACTCCCCACTCCTCCATTTTATATGATTCAAATTCGTGATGACCTCATTACTGCTCAAGATACTCTGTATTTGGCTTCCTCTCACACAGTACCTAACGGCTCGTTAGCCACACTGACTTGATTATTCGTATTCTTTATTGAACATGTTTTCTAATTTTTCACCACTTCCTGTGAAAGGTGACACCTTTCTCATTTTTTTGAGGTAACTGACTGCGTGAATACGTACTTGTAGAATTGAAATGATACTGAGTTTTATTAAGTGTTCTGTCTTGGATATTCCTACATTTGTCTTGTGCTTTCTCTCTCTCTTTTTTTTTTTTTTTTTTTTTTTTTTTTTTTTTAGAACTAGCATTTCTGTGATATTTATGGAAACATTAAAAATACTCCTTATTTGGGTTTTCTGTACTAGTTGTATGTTCTTTGACCAATGAAGTCCCTGATAAAAAAAGATTCAGAACTCTTAGTGTTTTTTAAAATTTGTTGTGTTTTGACTTCGTTTTGAAGTCTATTGCAAATATAGTTCTGAAATCAGTGCTAGGAAATAATACATTTACTTCAGATAGCTTTGCTGTTCTTTTTCCTATAAAATCGAATATTGCTGCTTTCTGAAGTGAGTTAGTGCTGAGAGTTTCCTGGGTTTCATTACTTATCCCAGGTCACACTACAAAATCCTGGCCAAATACCTGCTTTCTGCCTTGTGTTGTACTATTTATTAAGGTAGGCTTGCATAGTTTAAAGTTGATCAAGAAACAAGGAAAAGCTGCAGGAATAAGATTGTGTGTGGTAATTCATGGTTAAAGGGTACATGATGACAGGCTTGTGTGTTGAAGTTTACATCGGTCATTGCCTGTAAAACCTATTTCCATGTCTCAGCATTATGAAAATAAATTCCCCCAGTAAACTGAATTAATTTATTGCCATTTTCTAGATTATGCTGCTTTCAGGAAAGGTGGTATAATGGTCCTACATCTCTCGGTGAATTTGACTGCTTAGTCAAATTGACTGATAAAGAAAAAAAGGCAAATGAGAAAGGAAATAAAGAAATCGCAGGTACTATGTCTAAAACAGCTATGAATCAAAGGAACCTTATGGATGAAGGTTGAAAACTAGAATTAATGTGAAAAGCTGAAATTCAGTGGCGCACAGAGTAGTTCTGCATTTGAAAATATAAAACTATTGGAAGTTTAAATTCTGCAGCAGATTTATCTCTGTACTCTAGTGCTTACCACTTTGGTGTTGGTAAAATAAAATTTGACCCTCAAAAGCTGACTCAGCTTTATGTGCAGGTATACTTAAAAGAACTATAATATTTAGGTTGCTTTCTAAAGAAAGGCAGATGTGAGGTTTGTATGTATTCAACCACTTGGGTGGCTTAGTGGTTTTAAGTCCCTGAAGAACAAAATGATTGCACAGTATGTGTAGCGGAGGAACTAGCCCTACAAGCTGAACAAGCAGTAGCAGTTGGTAGCTAGATTTGGATCGGTGTAAGGGTCGTGCAGGTGTGCATTCAAGTTTTGGTGTTTTGTAACTGTTATGTGGGTTGTTATGGTATGATGAATGTTACTGTGTATGGATTATAGAAATTACAGAACAGAATTCTCAAGCATGGCGAGTAAGCCTTTTATAGATATTACAGGGAAGAATTTTGGAGCACGACATTTTAAAATAGTAATTTCTTTGAAGATGTGTAGACTGACCTGTATGCCACCATTTCAGTTCTGGCCACATCACATCAATGCTTTAGACCAATGCACCTTAAACTTCCACCATGTTAGGCTGATAGGTCTTTTAAGTTTGGGGGTTGGGTTTTTTTTTTGTTTGGTTTTTTTTTTTTTGAACAATATTCAGTCAAAATAAAATATTTCTGTCTGTCTTCAATTAGTGTCTGACTCTAGAAACATTGATCTCTAGCAAATGTTTCGAAGTCATCTTTTTGGATTTTTTCCTATAGAAGCTACATAGTTATCCGAGAATAAAACTGTGGTGCTGTGCAGAACCAAACCCAACTTTCTGTAGACATGCCAAGATAATGTTCTTCAGCTACCATTGCTTCTTGCAACATTGCTGTTGCATCTCACAGATGAGAGGGTGGAATGGGCTGAGGAGGCAGTAAATCAACCGGAGTTGAAGGGGGTTCTAGGGTGATAACTTTTGGGGCATGTAAGAAACAGGAATGATGATGCGGGTACTGGAGAGGGACTTGGAAACTTGAAATGTTTGGGTGATGCTGGGAGTTAAGGGAGGTGGAATAATATAATGCTCATGGTCTAGAACATTAATCCTGAAGGAGCACCTGAAGTTCTGGGATGTAGACAGCAGTCACGGTGCCATTGATCAGGCATAATATGGAGTAATGCGGTTAGAGCTTATCTGTGCAGGAAATGGAGTGCTTATAGATGCTACCCTGAAGGTGAGGAAAGGATTCATGCACTGTTTTTAGGACTGACCTGTGCCCCTTCACTTCTGTTTCAAGTAGCCCGTACGCTTTTTTGCATTTGTGTTCAGTAAGAAAGCAGATAGAAAATGATAGTGGTTAAGAAATGTTAAGAAAGATTCCACCACCCGTCCCCACCCCAAAAAGAAGGGGCAATGTAGGGAGTGAAATGTACGTAGTGCCTGCCAGCCACGTGGCCTAATGCATTTCCAGACACCAGTTGCCTGCTACACCGACGTGGGGCAGGACCGCAAACACCACACAATTTTCAAGGAACAGATAGAAATAAGAGGAGTTCAGTTGAACAGGAGATGTACTGCGTTATTGAGCGGTTGTATGGAACTTGATCAGCGGAGTTACGTAGCGGTGAAATGTATTTCGTTGTGCATATATGCCATTGCTAAACAGGTCAGAATTTGGTGTTTATACAGTGCGTTTCTTACTCGAGGGAAACGAGGGTACTTCTCCTAGTTTTGAGTAGCTCTTGAGTTCCTGTGAAGATCGCTGGGGTTTCATTTTTATTCTTCAAGAAGGTGTGCTGCTGCTGCTGTTGTTGGTGCTGTTATTGGCATTATTGAGAGGCCTTAGTAGGCCCAAGAGAGATCTATTCACAGTTTCATCAGGAATACAGTACATAAGCAGCTTTGAGCTTATGTGTGGATAACCTTTTGACTTCATAAAGTTCTAAATGTTGATTTGTATGAAATTTCGTTTAGCCACGGATATTTTTTTTTCAGTTTTAAGTATAGTAACTGAAGTTAGATTTAAAAAAAAACCACAAACCTATCATTTAGCTAAATGGAGCTGTAGATAAGGTGGTGCCTTGTTGGCAGGAAGGACAGTTTTCATTACTTTAATTGTGTGATTTGTCAGGATTTTCAGCTTTTTATAAATGCTGTAGTGTTATATGACAGAATTAAAAGGATTTAGAATAAAAGGAGTTTAAGAAAAAGACTTTGCAACAGGATTTCAATACTTTTTGTATTTGAGGGATTTAGCTAGCTGTTTTTCATTTCAATCATCCTGCTGCATTTTGTTAAACACTGTGTGTGGAGCAGGTGTGTGCAACGTCAGTGTATTGCACATGCAAATAAACACAATTTTACAAATCAAAATTAATCCACCATGACTTGGGAGATTAAATCCCACTGCAGAACTAGAAAGGGTTGCTGACTCCATTAAGCATTGCAGAGAACAACACATGTCGCTTTTTGCAATCTCATGAATGGGACCGCTATTAACCTGATTTAATGCCCTGCAGAATCCTCAAAATAATGATCTGTTTCTACAGTATTAATATTTACCTTCTGAAAGTATATATTTGAAGTAGAAAATGGATGTTGCTTTTTTTTTTTTTTTTAAATGAAGGCCTTGGTCATTACAGACTGAAATCAGAAGTTTAAGCACCTATTGTACAAATTTTGCAGATCTGTATTGTGGGTATTAAAAATGGGTATTCCTTTTGATTTTGTGCAGTTGCAGTTGTATCCCTGTGCTCCCTACCACCTTTCTTCCCCTTGATCCCCCTTCCTTGTCCTTAAACTTAGAACAAGACAGTAAAGAAACAAACAAATTCATGTCTCCAATATATCCTGGTGTAAAAAAAAAAAAAAAAAAAAGTGTGGTTAAATACTTAAGGTAAAATTCTGGCTCCACTTAAATCAATGTCAGAACTCCTGGTAGTCAGCGTTTCACCCTTAATGCTGAGAGACTGGCTAGGTGAACAGAAACAAATGGAGTTCATCTGTTACTTGCATCGAAGAAAACAAATTGGTTGCCAGGTTCTTAAGAAGACTATATGTTTCATTTATCAATTTACAGGTCAGTACATACAGTACAGGTATGACTCATAAAAGCCCTTGAAATAATAGGAATAAAAGGAAAATACATTTGTCTGTTTTAGGTTACTTGCAAAGCTATTGTTGATGGTGAAATTATTGATGTGACCCATTTGACTTTATAAATACCCAAATGTGTAGGAGGGAAGACGTATCCTTGTACAGATGAGAGTACTGAACAGTTTTTGTTACAAATTAATTACATGTACCCGAGTTATTAATAATTAACAGAGTCTGTTATGTGAAAATGTATATTGTTAATTGTTGTGCCTTTCTGAATAATTGATTTAGTGCAGTACACCAGTATTTGTGAATTGAATTTTGAACAGACTATATCACTAATGCTCTTTATAGATCAAAGGGTTTGGTATATAATGGAGAAAAAAAAATAAAATTCCATTATTCCCACGCACATGCATACCTATAGATAGATAGATAATTAAAAAGGCAAAGGTTGAAATAAAATGGAGGAAATTCAGTAGTGGTGGTGGTGTTGGTTGTTATTCTGTTATTTAAGTTGGGTAGAAACATACCCTGGAATTTAGTGAAACATTGCTCACAAGTAGAGGAGAGATTTTAACCTCGATTTTAATTTTATTTCTGGTTACATAGCCATAAGGGAAAGTTTTCAAAACTTTTAAAATCCCGTTTTAAGAAATGTGGCATATTTAACAATTTGATGGTTCTGGAGTGAAGGTGTGACTGCAGTTTGGGAAGAGGAATAGCTGGTTTTAGTCACTGAGCTCTGGTGCCAGCGGTGGTGGCGTGCAGGGATCCCAGGGCAGGCAGAACTGTCTCAGCAGCTGAATTAGAGCAGAGGACGGGCCCGTGCCAAGCTCTGCTGCTGGGGCTGTGCTGGTGTTAGGTGGTGAAGCTAACCTTAGAAGTAGGTTGGATGGGGTGGTAGAGTTGTGTTTTCACTTTGAGTGAGCAGCAGGCATAGCTGAGTCTTGCTGGAAGTTGGTGGATGTTGCTTTCTCAAAGGCTTAAATCGCTTGGTGGCGGAACTTACTGAAGACAGTTTTGAATTTAGTCCTGTATTTCCTCAGGCACGGCGCATGGGCTGTAAGCGTGGCTGTGCTTTGGGCAAACGCTGGCAGCCCGGCTTGTCACGTGCTAAAAAGTGGCTGCTCTTACGCGGCGCTCTTCTGGGTGACACACTCCACTTACACCTCCGTAGAATAAATTGGAAAACCGGTGTGTGAAATGCACTTGGAGTTGGTGACAGCCTTAACACAGACGGCTTTTATAACACAATGAAAAGTGAGCAAGTGTTACGGTTACAGTTACAGAATCCTTAACCTGAACTGAAACAAAGAGAAAGTAACTCCAAAATCCTGGCTGGATTTTGCCACTTGTTTTGTTACTCCTTGCTGTCTCTTTCAAGAACAGTTCTTCCAGTGTTCATGACTCTGCCTGTTACTTGTATTTCTGTCACTAATCTTTTACAGGCTGTGAGTTTTGTATTACATATTCAATATCCTTCCAATATATTGGGCCCCCACAACACGCACACCTGTACTTTGAAAGGTAACACAAACTGTACATAGTGATTTGCTTTTTCTTTTTTTACTTTTCCTCTTATCAGGTGCTCAGAAATGCGATAATTTTTCTGAGAAGCGGCCTCTTCTTGGTGTGTGCAAAAGCATTGGATCTTCTGGGTAAGAATATTTTTTGTGAATAGTCTCATGTCTAGATTGTAATATTGTTTAAAAAACCCTAGTAGATGGCATCTTTAAAGCTTTGTTCTTTTTTTTGCTAATGCGATAACACTGTGAAGTGCTTTTAAAGTTTTTTTTTCAGTGTGTCATCACACATTTGCCTATGACAAGCTTTTTCGAAGGAATAAAATATAGAGACTCTTGATATAAAACAGATAAAGAGGTATTTTGAGTTTATTTTGTTCTTGGTATAATCACAGTTTTGTGATTAGCCTTTTCTGATATTCATCCTGGTCAGAATTATTGTTGAGAAGTGTCTAAAGTATTATCTGTGTCTCAAAAAGTAAGTAAAAAATGCTTTCAAGCAGCAGTCATATACCAAATGAAATACAAGGACCGAGCAATTTCATTGTTACAGCCACTCACTGTTAGCAAAATACATGTTAAATCTACGTCTTTGAGATGATGGAAAAATAAGTTAACAGTCTTCTCTTGTGCTCTCTGGACAGTATTGTTGTATCACTCCTCTTATCACAGAGGGCCTTAAGGTACTTTATGTCTGCTTGATATGTTGATTCAGACGATGCAAAGGATTTATACATATACCTATGGGAAAATACTTGCTTTTCAAGGGTAATCCTCTACACAGCGATTCAAAGGCTAAACAGTTGCAGTAAATCTCCGTACAGTAGTAAGACTAATTCTGTGCCACACCCTTTTACATTAAGAATTTAATCACTCTGGGTGTGGAGGAAGACTATCGAGTCTCCATATGTTTCTCTGTATGTATTATTACTGTGTTAAACTAGAATATGAATGCTGCCAGTCTTAAATGTTTAAAACAAAACCCACGTAGGGTAGGGAGGTGAAATGTCTTTCTGTTGACGTGCTTACAAGTTGCAAAACTGTTGGTAGTGCCTTTTCTCCTTCCCCCTCTCATCAGTGTATGTAATCTCGTGAATAACTTTCAAAATAAGAGGGTGTGTAACCAGCGATGCAAATACTGCTCTTGTAGGGCTTTGTCTTAATCCAAACAGCAGGGGCTGTGTTGGATGGAGAAAACTTTTTCATACCTTTGCTTTAGAAGCTGAGATATGAGACATGAACAAACTATAAGGATTGTTATTTTCACTGTGTTATTGTATTCCTTGGTTAATGGGAAATACTTCAAAGATTATTGGTACTTTCTGCTTTTCTACCAAAAAAAGTGCTCGTACGCTTTCCAAACGGATAGGTTTGTGCTACTACTTACCAGTAGTTAAATATCTGCAAATAGAAGACTTTAAGTCAGGCTTTCCGCTGTGACCAGAAGACTGTTAAAAAAAGGGGACTGTGCTACAGGCTCTTCTTTACCCATTTAATAAAGAACCAGTTTGCTCATGGTGGTAAACCTTCAACAGAATATTCTGAAACATTTTCTACATTTACTGTTTGTTGCAACTTATTTTTGAAAGAGTCCTTGCAAATTACCTGTTTTGTCAACAGCTTTCGGATCAAGAGTTCTTTCACAGTTTGTCCTCAGCTGGAGTTGCGCTCCTTTTAAATGGGCTCAGGTCTCACACTTGTTTTTCATTCTGTTACATTCGTAGATCATTTGATCACATTTCTATAATGATTATTGTGCATAAAGAAGAATTTGTATAGGACATTAAAAAAGTTGTGTTACGAGTGACCTCTGAACCTGAATCACAATTTTGGTTCTGTTCTTAACTTGAGGTTTTGTGCTTAACATTGTTCCCTGTATATCTTAATGGTTGTGGACAGATAAAACACCTTGTTTAATCATATATCTGAAGAATATACGTTTATTCTGGAGGTTTACTCCAAAGCACTTGGTTTTCACTAGAGTCATCTCCTCACCTACTTTGGAGATTGTGCTGGCTATGGCATGAAATACTGCAGCTGTCGGCAGAAAATGTGCAGGAAGTAGGAGGCCTGTTCAGTCTACTGCAATGGCAGGTAAAATAGTCAGTGAGATGATGTGGCACTGCACCAAAATATTTCCCACTGAACAGAAAGGTAAATGAAGACTCTAAAACACTGAATCATTTTCTGAAAGGCAACTAGTCCAAGGCAGATCCAGAAGTGAAATCCAAGTCTTCCACCACACAATCTGTTACACTGATACATCAAACTACATTGTCTTTCTTTAATATAAACTGAGTAAGATTGGACATAGTTATGACAGTAGGGCCAATGTCATTATCTTTGCAAGTTGTAGTCTCAAAAGAAAACGTTTTCACCAGCCAGGCCCACCTGCCCTTATCCCCGTCCTCACTAGGACGCCAGGTTGCATTTTTGGAGGAGAAATGTGTGACCTTCTTGAAGTGCTTTGGCTGCTTCCGGCAGTCCTCTGGCTTTCTCCCATTCCGATTTTCCCAGGTTATTGTCTAAAATCTGTCAGAATTATTTGCCAAGGAGTGTGATTCTGGGGCGGGGGGGGGAAGTTTGACTTCCTTGGCCTTCATCATCCTTTGGCTGTTCCCTAGCAGTTCTTCAAAATTTCTGACTTCTGGTTGCTCTACTCAAATTTGAAGCTATTATTACTCTTTTCCTGGAACACTCCTGGTAATTTTGACATTTCCGAGTAAGTTTTTGTTGTTTTCTGTTACTAATTAATAAGGGGCATGGTTAAAATTTTGGAAGATTTGGTAGCTGGCACCATGACTTACTGTTGAAGAATATTTTTGGACCCTGTTATGTCTGGAGGCAATACTCTAATTTAAATTCTTTTCTGGGGCAGTCCTATATATAGAATCCATTTTCAGTCGCTCTTCTGAAAGTGCTTTGAAGTTGTTAATTTTTTGGATGGAACCAGAAGCATGAATGTATTTTACATCTGACTTACGATAAAACCTCAGTATGTTATTCACTCTTCGTTACAGTGTAGGAGTTGCTGTAAATGATCACATGCTATCCTTGACCTTAAGAAAACATAAGTGTTAAAGGGCTATTAATACTGTGTGTAAATAGTTCTGCATGATAAATGAGTGATCATACTTACGAATGTGTTGATCTGTTTTGTGATTTTAAAGGACTAATACATATATTCAAATGCATAGAAATTTTTGAGAAATTTGAATTCAGCATGTATGAAAATTACATGAGCAAGTTTTGAGTGTTAAAGGTGCCTAAACCATTAAATTAATACACATCTGATAGAATATAGTTTTTACCTAGGTCCACCGCACTGTCATTTAAGAGTATTTTGTCTTTTGGGACTGTATCAGTGAGATATTGACGCATTCAAGTTAGGGGCTGGGATTTCCTGGTTCTGACCACTAGGCTGCATTAGTGGTTACCATCAGGAAATTCTTCTCTTTTCCTTTAGCTGTAAAGTAAATACACTATAATGAGGAAAATACAATAAAAAGGTATTATTTTAAATGTAGAACATTTGTCAATCTGAAATCCAAAGAATTTTCAAGTAGTCATGAATTAATAACTTAAAAAATATCACTTATGTTAAATAACTTCAGTATTTTTCACTACCCCTCCAGTGTACCATGTCCTTTAGTGGAAGGACATTAATGAATAAGTTTGTGATACTATGCAAGGACTTCTTTCCTTCATTATGAAACAAAGATGGGTCTAAAAGTACTTTATGCAAAATATTGTTTGTCTGAAACCAATGTTTAGATTTACGTTTCATTCCTGATTTTTTTTTTCGTTGTCATATACACAATGGAAGATCTCTGGTAACTTAGAAATACAGTAGTTTACCCTGGAGATCCCTTAATGTTTTACTGAATTACAGGTTGTTGACAGGTCTAAAAATACCTTGTTAATTTTTAGTATGTCCACCACTGATTTAACAATGTATTAACTTAAAAATCAACTTCTGTGTAACTTGGCGTGTGGGTTGCACCTCTTCTGTAATGTGACCTAATACAGTACTCATTGATATAATATACACTGATAAAACGTACATTCCTTTGCATGTCAGTGTTAAGGTCTTAACGTTTAGTATTTCCTAACTTTAAATGTTAAATTCTTTGTATTGACAGTCATTGTTGAGAACTTGCTTTCAAAAAATTTATTGTAGCGTATCTGAAATGTTAAATTTTGCACTTTGAAATTAATTTCAGTCACCTTCTGTATGTAAAATTCTGTAGAGAGAGATTTGCCACTAATCTCAATCCTTGTATACCCCACAATGAGTTTTTTACTAGAGAGGATGAAATTTGTGTTTTCTAAACTTGTGCCTTGTATCCGAGTTTCTGACTAGTTTTGGTACACACATCTTTGTACTTTAAAAGTCAAATTTTCCATCTGGTAAAATGACTGAAATGTCTAGCATGGGGGTTGGACTAGATGATCTTTAAAGGTCCCCTTCCAACCCAAACCATTCTGTGATTCACTATATAATCTTTTCAAAACAATAGTGTTCACAGCCCCCGAAAAGGATGCAGTCTTGACACATAAATGGGAAACAGATTGTGTGTTTTGGCTGATACTGCTATGCTGGTTTAGACGGTGGTTCAGTCAACTTCAGTCTTAGATTACAAGATTTGCAAATTAAAGGAAAACCAAAAAGGAAAGAACATCTGCATAAATTTTTTTTTTTTGTAGTTTTGTGGAGGCATGCTTACTTTGTTCTTGGTGATAAGATAAACAAATCTATACACACACAAAATGAATTGGTGGGTATTGGTACATATTAATGAATTTCTAGGTGGTGAAACATCAAGATTAGTAATCTGTAAAGTGAACAGAGAAATTCTCCCCCTCTCCCCCCCTCAAAAAAAAAAAAAAAGGGAAGAAAAAAAAAAGTAGTAGTCGTGGCCACAAAACTGCATGGCAGAACTAGGCAATGTGTGCTGTTTGGAGCTACTCAGTTTAAAGATAACTAGATAAGACTAATTATGTTAAGTGAAATATATTCCTGTTTTCCCCATGTGGGTTGTTGAAACCATAGTTTGGAACGTACTGGCTCTATAGAACACCTTCTAACACACCAAAGAGGTCCAAAATACATTAGACATGCTTTTTGTTCTGCT